TTCCTTCCTTCCTTTGAAGCCTTTCCCAGCCCCCCTGGCCCCATGCCTCACGCAGAGAGCTTCCCCTGGTGTTCTCCTACACCGTGTGTGCACCTGCTTGTCCCTGGCCCTGAAAATTCCTGTCCCTGTCTTTAAAGCAGCAGGTGAGAGGTTGGCTGGCAGCCAGACACCAAGGGCTGACTCCCCAGTGCCAAAGTGGCTCTCCAAGGTGTGTTATCCAATGAAGACAGTTCTCAGCTGTGGGCTCCTTCCTCTGCCCCAGGTAGGTGAACAGCCCTCACTCCTTGGGGATAAATCATGCTCATGTGTCTGCCCTCAAGGGCAGAGCCAGTGCGTCCACCGCTCAGGCAGTGGCAACAAGCCATTTGTTGAATGAATGAGTGACCCAGATGGAACTCTGTCAAACGGGAATTTTACCTAAAAACTAGCTGAAGGTTATATTTGTGCACAGTATTTGCTCCACCCATCCGAAGCATTTATCAAAGGGCAGTCTGTTTTTATTTCATTTTTCTACCTCCCCCTTGACCTAGCTGGAGCCTCATGGGGAAAATCCGGGATGGGAAGCTGGGACAACAATGCCTGCAAACACCAGGAGGATGTGCAAACAGATGGAATGATAAACACGGGGCAGAAGCACAGGGAAAGGCGTAAATATTGACATTGTGTGGGGGGTGCCCCTGCAGCTTGGTTTTAGTGTTTAGTAGAGTGCAGTGAGGGTCAGTCTCACGTTCAGATCCAACACCATTGCAGGACTCCGGCCCACAAGGGGTTCTCTGAAAAATCACAGTTTTCATGGGTGCTGGTTCGAGACCTGGCTGCTCCACTTCCAATCCAGCTCTCTGCTGTGGCCTAGGAAAGCAGTAGAAGATGGCCCAAGTCCTTGGGCCCCTGCACCCACGTGAGAGACCCGAAAGAAGCTCCTGGCTCCTGGCTTCAGATCGGCACAGCTCCGGCCATTGTGGCAAATTGCGGAGTGAACCATTGGATGGAGGAACTGTGCGAAGTAAAGAAAATCTCTTTCTCACTTGCTCTCTCTGCTTCTCCTCTCTCTGTCTTAACTCTGACTTTCAAATAAATAAATAAATCATTAAAAAAAAGAAAGTCACAGTTTTCCAAATAGGTTAGGGTTTCCTCCTTTAGAGCGAATCTTCCTCACCACAGCAGTGGAAACCCTGCCAAAGTGTCTCAGGTTTCCACAGCTCTATGACTTGGTGTCTTGTGCACACTCTTGATACAGAAAGCAGAGTGGAGGGGCCGGTGCTGTGGTGTAGCAGGTAAAGCCGCCGCCTGTGGTGCCGGCATCCCACGTGGGCGCTGGTTTGAGTCCCAGCTGCTCCACTTCCAACTGGCTCTCTGCTGTGACCTGGGAAAGCAGTGGAGGATGACCCAAGTCCTTGGGCCCCTGCACCCATGTGGGAGACCAGGAAGAAGCTGCTAGCTCCTGGCTTCGGATAGGCACAGCTCCGGCCATCGCGGCCAACTAGGGAGTGAACCAGCAGATGGACGATCTCTCTCTCTCTCTCTCTCTCTCTGCCTCTCCCTCTCTGTGTAACTCTGACTTTCAAATAAATCATATAATCTTTTAAAAAAAAGAAACTTTAATAAAAAAAGAAAGCAGAGTGGAGTCGTTTGGGAAGCGGACATATGTGGAGTCCGCTTCAGGACCTCCCCATTATAAACAAGAGGAGCTCTGTTCCTTTTCTTTCTTTCTTTCTTTCTTTCTTTTTTTTTTCTTTTTTGAAAACATTTTGTTTTGAAAGTTTTTAAACTGACCAAAGAGTTGCAAGCAGAGTGCAGTGAACAGCCAGAGATCACGGACTGGCAAACTGCATCCTGTGGCCTGTTTTTGTCTGATCCGTGAGCTAAGAATGGTTTTCACATTTTGAAGGGGTTGGAAAAAAAAACTTGAAAAAGAATGTTTCATAACACATGGAAATCAAACACGGGTGTTCTTAAAGGCAGCTTACCCACTGTTTATGTCTTCGCCTACGGCTGCTCTTGGTCCACCACGGCAGAGCTGGGCGGGTGCCACAGAGGTCCTGACTGTCAGGTCCCCAAAACTTACTATTTGGTCCTTTAAAGAAAACACTGGCTGACCCTGACCTAGATTTACCAATTGATACTATTTTACGCCATCGATTTCCTCTCTCCTGCATACTTTGGTGTCTATGTCAGTTTCTTAAACCAGGAACGGGCATAACAGGTGCAGTGTGGGGAGAGATAAGATAGCCTCAGTGTTTGGTACGTACTGCTTGGCACACAGAACTTAGCAAGCGATCCAAGAACAATCCCTGGCCTTTTCCACAGAGGGGCCTGCCAGAGTCTCTCGCTGGAAAAGCTTCCTGAAACCCTGCTTAGTTCCTGCCGTCTGGGCAGCAGCTTCTCCTCGTTAGCCGAGCAGCAGAAAAAAACCTCAAGGAAGCCTCATTTTTCCATGGCTTGTGGCTTGGCTGACTCAGCCTCTGCCCTCCCCTGAGTCACGAGTTTTTCCTCTCTGTTTTGGAGGAGCGGGGCCCTCCGCCCAGGTCTCCTAGCTGCTGCTAGGAGCAGGCAGCTGGACATCAGACTCTGCACTGGCTTGGGGGTTTTCCCAGACTCCACTCACGCCCTGAGAATGTCTGAGCGGGAGAGATGAGGAGACCGAGGCCACGGTGGACCCCGGACCAGCAGCCAAGCAAGGCTAGGAGGGGGTCTCCCGACGCCAGGACCAACAGGTGTGCGTCCTCCCTCCGGTTTCCCAGAGTCCTGAAAAGGCGTCTCTTTCCTGAGGCTGCTCTGTGCCAGGCAGGTGTTAGGTGCTAGGATGCCACCATAAACAGGCCGGCCCTGACCCCCCGGGGGACCGGCTTTCTCCCAAATCTCATGGCCAACCACACTCCCCAGGCAGGACCCACCCTCCCTAAGAAGCCTGTGAGGGATCTAGGCCCCGGGGGCAGTCCTGGAGCTCAGCCTGAAGTTTCCTTCCACCCGCCAGCGACAAGCAATGTGCATACCTGGAACAGCATGTCCCAGTGTCGCAAGGACCCAACTGAGCTCCCGGGTTATATGCCTCAGCCCCTGGGAGCCTGGGCCTGGTCCCTCATAAGTGCAAATGTTCCTTTAACTGGGGGTCCAAGCGTGGGTAGAGCAGGTCATGGGGGAAGTCCAGAGGGCGGCGGGGACTACTGGGGATGGGAGAACAGAAAGGACAGCTCCTGGTGGGGACGAGGGCCCGCGTTATCGAGCACACTGACGTAACCGGAGCTGGAGATTCTGATCTTCCGCAGACTCTCACACAACGACGTATTTAAATGTTGAAATACTTGGCGAGGCCAAAAGACACATCAGAGAGGTCAAATTTGGCTCAGAGGCTCCCTACCAGGCTGTGGTCCCTGCTGGACACTGACCTCTCCCAGGAGGGTAATGGGGGGTGGGAGGGGACAAGGGCTCTCTGAGGCCACAGCCGGTGCCCCTCTCAACTTGCCGGTCACCTGCACCCTTCCTCTTTCTCTTGGCCTTCTCTCTCCTCCCTCCCCCCATTCCCTTCCCTTCTCAGCCCACCCCCTGGCTCCACGGCACCTCCCCGGCAGGGCTCCGCCACACAGCCTCACCCGAAGCACCCAGGGGAGCAGGGCTCAGGCCTTCCAGCAGCAGCACTTGGGGCCAGGGCTTGAGACTGACAGCAATAGGCAGGCAGGTAATTAGGTGGCTGTAAGCCCCCCGGGTGCCACTATCCTCCAGCCTGTCAATCAAAACGCCCCTTTCCAGGATGCAGCTGCGTCATCAGGGACCTAAGGGGGACAATGACGGAGAGACATGTGGAGAGACACCACCCCCATCCTCATAAAAGAGGCCAACAACTGGGAGGGTCTTTTGTCACAGACCCCGGCTGGAGGGGCTGCCAGGTGCCCCTCTCTCTCTCTCTCCCTTCCCTCATCCTCCTCCTTTGGGGCAATCTCCTGGCCCACTGTCCACTCATGATGGGTATTTCTCTGTGTGAGGCAACCCATGCTCGCACGTGTGTGTGTGTGTGTGTGTATGTTCACTTTCTCACCTTTTGAATAAAAACTGACCACACTTCTTGCACTTACACGTGTCTGCACTCAGAATGCTTTTCTGGGTGCAAGACAAGAGCCTGAAGGAGAAATTAATACACCCAGCCCCCATGAGGCTGACCTGAAGGTCTGTGTACAGCACAGAGGCCCTGGGGCCAGGCCAGAGATGAGCAGGTGACGGTCAGCCCCTCTTCGAAGGGCAGGGGCTGTGTCCTACTGGCATCTATAAGATGGACAAGTGTTGATCCACAGATAAGGAATGGACAGAGCAGCCCAGCCCCGCGTGGGGCTCACAGCCTGGCGGAAGGGACACGGACAAGGGTGAGGTTGAGAGAGGCGGGGTGAGGCAGGGAGCCGCTGTGGGTGGCCAGGAGAGCCTCTCTGAGGAGGTGACACTCGGAGGTGAGGCAGGGAAAGTGCAAAGGCCCAGGGGTGGGGACGGCCTTGAAGTTTTGAGGAACAGGAAGAAGCCAGTGGGATGGGAAGGCTTGGACGGAGGCCTCCTGGGGCCCGAGGGCTGTGGACTTCACTCCCAGGGGCGTAGGGGGCGCAGGAGGAGCCCGGGGCTCGGCCCCCCAAACTATTTTCTTTCCTTCAGTGTAAGTTTGAACTACGAAAAGTCTGAAACACAAACTAAAGCGCCGCTGATTTCCAATATGGAGGTGATTAACACCCCGGGGCTTCAGAGGAGGGGTGACGGGTCCGGTCAACAGCGGGGACACCCCGGGCAGGGCTAAGAGCCTTCAACTCGGTGCCCTCAAGGCCAGAGCAGCCGGAGGCGAGGGGCGGGGGCGGCAGTAAAAGGCGGATAGAGGAGGGGTGGGGTCCAACTGGGGAGCGCCCCCACGAGGGATGCCAAGCAAGCCCCGCCCAGCCCAGCGCCCTGAGGCTCTGACCGCGGACCGAGCCCCTCGGCCGCTCCGCCCGCGCGCATTTCTCGGTAACCGAGGCGGCCCCGCCCCCTGCGCTCCAGGGCTCCGATTGGCCGAGGCGGCCGTCGGGCGGCGTGGGCGGCGCGGGGATTGGTTGAGGCCGGCCAGCGGGACGCCGCAGCCGAGTGCTGGCTCGCGGGCTGGGCTGCTTGCTGGCTGGCCGGGCGCGGACGCCGCGCGGAGAAGGTAAGCGCTTCCTCAGCCCCCGAGACGGGCCGCGGCTGGCGGGCCGGGCGGGAGTCCCGCCTGGCAGCCTCTACCTCCCTGAACCCCCGGGCCGCCCCGTCCAGGCTGCTCCCTGGCTGCGCGGGTGAGACGTCCTGGACTTGGACGGGAGGAGAAGCACTGAGAAGGACGCGCACTGCCGGCCGGCAGGGTGGGGACTGCAGGGGCTCTGGGGAGAGCGGAAGCCAGCAGGTGGGGTTGGGGGTGCTCAGGGGCGAGGCCGGTCCCCAGGGCGATCCCTACGGGGGTGCGGCGACGTGTCGGGGAGTCGTGGCCGCCTGCTGCAGTCGGGGCCTCGCTCTCCGGTCCCTGTCTGCTGGAGGCGGGCTTTCCTCGCGATCGCTGTCCTGGCTGGTTCTTACTTAGGAGCCGCCTGGCGCCGAAGCTGTGGTTTGTGGCTCTAGGTGGGAGCCGTCCAAGGAGACAGGTGGGGCTTGATTGTCGGGGTGCACCGAGAGGTGCGTGGAATCGCCAGCCTTTTCTCTCTCCCTGAAACAGGAGGGAAAACGGACTTTCCCGGGCGCTCTGAAACCCGATCCCCACAGCCCTAGGCAGAGACTCCTTGGAATCCACAGACAAAGCTGTTATTTCACTGCGCCACCCGAGCTGGGGTCAGAGGCCAGGGGGAGGCTGGGGTCGGCCTCTGCAGCTGGCCACGACTCCCACCGGGCTCCTTGTCAGCTGAGAGGTGACTGAGTTCACCCTGCACACGTCAGCTCTCAGGGCTGCCAACACACAGGCGGCAGGCAGCCCTGCTGAGCTAAGGGACCTGCCCGCCCCAAGGAGGGAAGAGACCCCTGTGGCCTGGGGTGGGGGCGGGGTGGGGCAGCCCAGCCAAGCTGGGGCGGGGGTGGGGCCTGGCCACCCTGGGCGGGGAGTGTTTGGAGAGGAGCTAACCCTCTGGACAGGAGGATTTCTGATTCTCTTTGGTTGGGATCAGCCTTCAGGGGCAAGTGTTGTGGCAGAGCAGGTAAAGCTGCCTCCTGCAGTGCCTGCCCGGCTGCTGTACTGCTGACCCAGCTCCCTCTAATGCTCCTGGGAAAGCAGCGGGAGAGGGCCGAGTGCTTGGGCCCCTGCCCCCACTTGGGAGACCCGGAAGAAGCTCCCGGCTCCTGTTTTTTCCCGGCTCAGCTCTGGCCATTATGGCCATCAGGGAGTGAGCCAGCGGATGGAAGATCTCTCTCTCTCTCTCTGTCTCCCTTTCTCTCTCTCTAATTCTCCCTTTCAAATAAATACGTTTTTAAAAATAAAATAAGGTAGAGATTGGGCTTCAGCCGCTCGTGGTCATTTCAGAGCTGGGACCTTGGCGGCTGTGGCGGCGGTGGTGGAGGCACCTTCCCCAGCAGGGACTTTTGTGAGGATTAAATGAGCTAATACAGGTCATGTGCTTCACACAGTGCCAGACGAGCCGGCAGCGGCGCTCAGTGAATGGCACCTCTGTTTTGTTTTCTCTGTTGCTGGTCTTACTACGAGGGCCTTCCAGAAAGCTCAGGCCCAGACAAAGCTGCGGGGAGCCCCTGGGAGGAGAAGGCACCGCACCTGCAGAAAACTCAGGTTGTCACCGTGGCTTGTGGGTCTGCAGCCTGGCCTGTGCTGTCCCCGGTCCCCGTGACCTTACCCCTGCCTTGCCTCCTCACTCCTTCCTGTGTGGCCCCCACTTCATTTATTCTACCTTGTGCAGGTCCTGAGGGCCAGAGCACCCCACCACCACCCTGAAACCACATGTTTGCATGGCTGACCCCTTCATGGTGTTCAAGTTGGGGTGAGGTCACTTCCTCCTAAGGCCTTCCCTGGCCATCATCCTGTGCCAGCCTCAGGGACTTTCTTTCTTTCTTTCTGATTTATTGTATCTATTTGAAATGTAGAGTTACAGAGAAAGAGGGAGAGACACAGTGAGAGATCTTCCATTTGTTGATTCACTCCCCCAAAAGCCAGGAGCTTCTTGCAGGTCTTCCATGTGGGTGCAGGGACCCAGACACTTCAGCCAACTTCTGCTGCTTTCCCGGGCACATAAGCAGGGAGCTGGATCTGGAATGGAGCAGTCAGGTCTCAAACCTGCGCCCCTGTAGGATGCCGGCACTGCAGGCAGCGGCTTTACCTGCTGCGCCACAATGCCGGCCCCAGGGAGATCAACTTTTCTTTTCTTCCTGGTTGTCAGAAGCTACTGCCAGTCTGGCTCCCGTATCAGGAGAAAGTGCAGTGGGCCTGTCCCTGGCTGCCTGCTGTCACCCAGTGCTTAGCACGGTGTCTAGCACATGGTAGGACTTGGGAAATGTTTGAAGATAAAGGCAGGGTTGAAGCATGCGGGCCTGGTTGGAGCTGAGGTCCCTGAATGGAAGGGGAGCCCAGTCACAAAGCCCAGGGAAAGTCCAGGCTGCTGAGCTGCCCCTGGGATTCTGCCGTCCTCCGTGGCTTTGGCCAGGTACATCCCTCACTGAGAGCAATGACCCACTGGAACAGGGCCCTGTGGCTTCTGGGTGTGTCCCTGCAGTAGCTGTTGAGCATTAAGCTTTTTTTTTTTTTTTTTTTAAGATTTATTTTATTTGAAAGGCAGAATTACAGAGAGGCAGAGAAAGAAATGGAAAGATCTTCCTTCTACTGGATCACTCCCCAAATAGCCACAATGGTAGGGGCTGGGCCAGGCCAGAGCCAAAAGCTCCATCCCAGTCTCCCAAGTGGGTGGCAGGGAACCAAGCACATGGGCCATTTTCTGCTGCCTTGCCAGGGACATGAGCAGGGAGCTGAATTTGAAGTGGAGCAGCTGGGACTAGAACTGGCGCCCATACGGGATGCCAGCATCGCAGGCAGCGGCTTTACCCGCTGTTAGTAAAATAGCGAAGTCTTATCTATGGTGCAGTCTACATCCTGACACCATCCTAGGCTCTAGCCCCCGCCACCATTGCTGGAAGCCAGGTGACCCCATAGCCCAACCACCAGTGTCAGCTCCACCCCCATCCTAATGGGATTCGCTGCTCCTACTTCCCTGCCCGCCCCCTGGCAAAGTTTTAAGAGGACCTGTTCCTGACCACAGGGCTCTCTCTCTGTCTCTTTCTCTCCGTCTCCTGATCTCTCTCCTCTCTTATGCTCTCCAGCTCTTTCCTTCTTCACCCCCTCCTATCTGTCAGGTTTCCCCCAATAAGCCCTTTCCCTTACTCCGGTGTTTGGTGTGTTTAGTGACAGCCTTACACCACTACACCACAGCGCCGCCCTCAAACACCATTTTTAAAGAGTCCCAGACTCGGCCCTGCCGGCCTGAGGCCATGCCTGTGTGACCTCAGAGTCGGACTCTCCTCTGAAAACAGATGAACGCAGAGAGAATTTTCTCTCCTTGGCACTGTGCTCTGTGGTACTGCAAGTGAAGAATGAAATAAACAGGTGGCTTTTAGGTGAGAAATTCACTGTATCTTTTTTTAGAGTAGAAAAAATACAATGCAAGGTACTGGGGGGAGGGGAAGATGTAATGATACTAACATTTAAAATGGAGTCCAAACTAAAATGCATTTAAGAGTATGCTTCATTTTGAATATGTAAACAGTGCATTTTTAAAATATAACAATCTAGTTAATAGCTGGAGAAAATCAACTAGGTTAGTGGCATGTAGGTCCTTCAAAAGAGAATGGCGTAAATCTTTTTTTTAAAAGATTTATTTATTTATTTGAAAGGCAGAGTTATAGAGAGGGAGAGACAGAGAGAGATCTTCCATCCACTGGTTCACTCCCCAAATGGCTTCAACAGCCACGGCTGTGCCAGGCCTATGGCAGGAGCCAGGAGCTTCTTCCAGGTCTCCCACATGGGCACTTGGGCCATCCTCCACTTCTTTTTCCAAGTGCATTAGCAGGGAGCTGTATCAGAAGTGGAGGAGCTGAGTCTCCAAGGGCACGCCCATGTGGGATGCCAGCACTGTAGGCCGTGGGTTCACCCACTGTGCCACCGTGTTGGCCCCAGCCAGTAAGCATTTTACAGCACCCAGGGATGCAGCTCGGAGGTCAGCAAACCTTTTGTGTAAAGGGCTGGACAGTAAGTGGATGTTGTCTGTCAGGGCCCCTGCCCAGTCGGGGATCCTATGAAGGCTCCAGAGCAAAGGGCCCAGGAGCCCTCAGTATGCAAGACCAGCTCCCAGCCCAGACCCCTCCCCTTTCCGCTGGAAGCCCTCTGCCTTCCTGACCCACGTTTTGCCATCAGCAGCTGGACAGTGACCCTGAGGGCCTAAAGCAGGGGTATCAGTGTCGGCGGGGGCAGAGCAGCGTGGCCCCCTCTGAGGGCCTGGAGACCACGTTGGGGGCTCTCCCTTCTGCTGGCTGGGCCCCCTGTGGGTGCAGTGCCCCTGCCCACGGCTCTCCCTTCTTGGGCACTGCTCAGTACTTCTGTCTATCTGGGGGCACCTATCGGAGGTGGACCTGGACAAGCTGGCCTCAGAGCTCCCCCAGCCCCCCAGGCCTGGAGCCAGCCGCCTGCTCTCTGGGCACAGAGCCCCTCAGCTTCACTGTGCTCCTGCAGGGTGGGGTTTGCGTCCTGCTCTGGCAGCAGCCAGATCCATCTTCCACACACAGGTGTGCTGGAGGGACACGTGGCCTGCCCTCCTCAGAGCGCCTGTGTCTGCTGGGGGTGCCCAGGCACCATGCTGTGCAGTCTCCTCGCCAGGCCCAGCCAGGTGTCCCATAGTGAGAACTGTTCCACATCCACAGTGATAGAACCCACAACCGAACCCAGACTCAGTCCTGCGACTTTGTTCTTTTGAGAACTTTAGAATTAGAAAGAAAGAAGCTTGTGGTCACACGTCCCAGAATTCAGTTTTAGGCTTCATACGTTTGCTGCCTCCTTTTTCTGTTTTTTTGTTTGTTTTGTTTGTTTGTTTGTTTCATTTTTATTTGAAAGGCAGAAAGCATGATCTTCTGTCTGCTGGTTCATTCCCAAAATGCCCACAGCATCCGAGGCTGGGCGAGCTGAAGCTGGGAGCCCAGGACTCACAGGGGTGGCAGGGACTCAAGGACTTGGACCATCCTCCGCTGCTCTCCCAGGTGCATAGCAGGGAGCTGGATCAGAGCAGCCAGGACTTGAACCGGCACCCAAATGAGAAGCCAGCACTGCAGGCGGCAGCTTTACCCTCTGCGTCACAGTGCTGTGCCAATGTTGTGTTATTTCTGCATAAATGGCGGCACAAGGATCTGCAGGTGTTTTTTTCTGCTCAGCATTTGTGGCTACTCCATTCTGACCCCTGTTCTCCACTAGCGAGTGACCCTGGTTCTGTCCCCTTTCCCTCTGCTCCCAGGTGTTTCAGTTGTGTCTGCCACACACTGAGCTTCTCCATGGTGGAGTCCCCCAAACCATCCCAGGGCCCCGGCATGGCCCAGTGGGACTGGGAGGGATGGACTGTAGGGGACACAGTTCTGGTTTTGCCAGACTGTGCATCAGCCTGGGGCCTGGAGATCAGTAGTGGCGGCAGCAGCCCAGGGCTGTCACTGATAATCCAGAAGTCTGCAGTACCGCCTCTCCCAGCAGCCCTGAAGCAGTGGTTCTTACAGAAGGTGCCCAAGGCTGCCCTTCTCAGGGCTCCTTGTGACCCGATGAAGCATTGCTGCGTGCCTCGAGGGGCTCAGTGTCTCTGTTGTGCAACGCACTCAGCCCCTCCAGCGAGGCCCCGCTGTGGCTGCCAGCCGACAGTGTGATTTACAGAGTGTACAGACGGTGGCGTGGTGACCCAGAGACTGCGCGTGTGACCAGCTCGGTCAGAGGCGTGCTGTGTGTGCCTGAACACGTGTGCGCATGTGCGGGTGGAGAGGTTAGCTCTCGCTCACTTCCTTTGTGCAGGTAAAAGCTGAGTCATGCGTGCATGGCAGGCCCTTGGGAGCTTGTGTATGCAGCACCTGTTGTGTGCCTGGCACTCAGAGCAGGCACAGCATGTCCAGCCACAGTATGCAGTGCTGGCATCCCGTATCAGAATGCCAGCTAGGTTGGAGTACTGGCCACTCCACCTCCCATCCGGCTTCCTGCTAATGCGCCTGAAAAGGCAGCAGAAGATGGCCCAAGTGGGTCCCTGCCACCCACATAAGAGACCCAGATAGAGTTCCTAGCTCCGGGCTTCAGCCTGGTCTAACCCTGGCTGTTGTGGCCATTTGGGAAGTGAACCAGCAGATGAAGATCTCTCTTTCCATCTCTCCCTTTCTGTAACTTTGCCTTTCAAATAAATAAATAAATCTTAAAAAAATAATTGGTGATAGAGAATAAATAAGCAGAGCCTTCTGTGTTCAAGGAGCTCAGAGTTAAGTGGGGAAATAAAAGGCAACCAGCATATTAATAGACAAGGGAATGCTTGGCCCCAGGACTGGCACGTGACACAACAGATTAAGCCACAACCTGTGATTCCAGCCTCCCATACATGCATCAGTTCCAGCCCTGGCTTCTCCACTTCCGATCCAGTTCCCTGCTAATGTGCCAGGGAAAGCAGTGTGTCCCTTGCACGCACATGGGAAACAGGGATGGAATTCTAGGTTCCTGGCTTCAGCCTTGCCCAGCCCTGGCCGTTGGGGCCATTTGGGGCGTGAACCAGCTGATAGAAGATCTCTCTCTCTCTCTCTCTCTGTGTGTGTATGTGTGTGTGTTTAACTGTCTTTCAGATAAATAAATCTTTAAAAAAAAAAAAAAAAAGAATAGCTGGTCCTGACAAGTACCATATGGTTTGCTGTCCCCACCACTCAGTTCTGCATTGTAGGGTGAAAGCAGCCATAGACAATGATAAGTGAATGAATGTGGCTATGTTCCAATAAAACTTTATTTATAAAAGCAGACTGTGGGCCGGCACCGCAGCTCACTAGGCTAATCCTCCACCTTGCGGCACTGGCACACCGGGTTCTAGTCCCGGTCGGGGCGCCGGATTCTGTCCCGGTTGCCCCTCTTCCAGGCCAGCTCTCTGCTGTGGCCAGGGAGTGCAGTGGAGGATGGCCCAAGTGCTTGGGCCCTGCACCCCATGGGAGTCCAGGATAAGTACCTGGCTCCTGCCATCGGATCAGTGTGGCACGCCAGCCGTGGCAGCCATTGGAGGGTGAACCAACGACAAAGAGGAAGACCTTTCTCTCTGTCTTTCTCTCTCACTGTCCACTCTGCCTGTCAAAAAATAAAAATAAAAAAAAAAAAAAGCAGACTGTGGGCCAGATGGGACCATCAGACCATAGTTTGCCGACACTTCTCCTGGGTGGGGTGAGCAGCTCGCTGAGCTGGGCTTTCTGAAAGGGACAGGGACTGAGAGACGGTCACAGGCACGGATGGCGTGGGGTGGTCTGTTTCAGGCGAGACACAGAGGCCCTTTGGCTCATGAGATGGCAGTGGAATTGTGTGCTGAGAGCAGGTGGCTCGGCAGGAGTTGGGAGTTGAAGGTGATGGTGCATGGGTGGTTGAGTGCCCCTAGGTTTTGGCCTTGAACTAGGGATGGAGAAGAGAAGCTGAGAGGAGCAGGTTTGGGAGAAAGCTGGGTTCAGTGTTGAGTTTGTGGAATGTACTGGATGAGCAGGTGGGCAGCGAACATCTGGCTCAGGGGAGGGGCCAGGGCTGGGGAGCTGACAGCGTTCAGGTGGTCTTCAGAGCCGTGAGTCTGGTGGGCTCAAAGGGAGTGTGTGCACAGAGCAGAGGGCAGCCTGGGGTGCAGTCTGAGCCACAAACATGGAGTGGTTAGTGCGCCGGCAAGGGACAGCTCGGTGTGGTGGATGGGAGAGTTGGGGTGTCGGGGTTGCAGACACCTGCATCGCCCGGCACACACTGCCCGGCACACACTGCCCTGCACCTGCACCTGCATCCTTCCAGCCGAGAGGTGGGCCTACAGTGCCCCAGGGAGCAGCTGACGGGGGTCGGAGGTGGAGTGTCCCAGCTTCTCTGCTGCTTGGCTGGACAGCACTGAGGCGTGTTCTGCCTCGTCTCCCTGGCCCCCTGGGGGATTGGGTCTCTGCCGCCCAGCGTGGCCTACTCAGTGGCACCCTCTCTTCCTGCCTTCCACATTCCCCTTCCTTGGGTCAGGGGCACCTCCCTTCACCTCCCAGGAACTCCTTTACTCCATATATAGGGTCGGCTTCTGGTGTAGTGGTGTTGGCGGCTGGGTGGGCTTGCTGGCGCTTGATGGGGTAGTAAGTGGGCTGTGGGGTTGGGGTGAGCCATGTGGCTCTGACCTCTGGCCGTGCCTGGACAAGCTGATGCCCCCTCGTCTGCTCCTCCTGCAGCCCAGCCATGGTGGACCACTTGGCGAACACGGAGATCAACAGCCAGCGGATCGCGGCGGTGGAGAGCTGTTTCGGGGCGTCCGGGCAGCCGCTGGCCCTGCCGGGCCGAGTGCTGCTGGGCGAGGGCGTGCTGACCAAGGAGTGCCGCAAGAAGGCCAAACCCCGCATCTTCTTCCTCTTCAACGACATCCTGGTGTATGGCAGCATTGTGCTCAACAAGCGCAAGTACCGCAGCCAGCACATCATCCCTCTGGAGGAGGTCACGCTGGAGCCGCTGCCCGAGACCGTGCAGGCCAAGAACCGCTGGATGATCAAGACGGCCAAGAAGTCCTTCGTGGTGTCGGCCGCCTCCACCACGGAGCGCCAGGAGTGGATCAGCCACATTGAGGAGTGTGTGCGGCGGCAGCTGCTGGCCACGGGCCGCCAGCCCACCACGGAGCACGCGGCGCCCTGGATCCCCGACAAGGCCACGGACATCTGCATGCGCTGCACGCACACGCGCTTCTCGGCTCTCACCCGGCGCCACCACTGCCGCAAGTGTGGCTTTGTGGTCTGCGCCGAGTGCTCCCGCGAGCGCTTCCTGCTGCCGCGCCTCTCGCCCAAGCCCCTGCGCGTGTGCAGCCTCTGCTACCGGGAGCTGGCCGCCCAGAAGCTGAAGGAGGAGGCGGAGGAGCAGGGCCAGGGATCCCCAGGACAGCTGGCCCAGCGGGCCGGAGCCCTTTACGGGGCATCCAGTGGCGATGACGATGACTCGGAGGAGGACAAGGAGGGCAGCGGGGATGGCGACTGGCCCAGCCACGTGGAGTTCTATGCCTCGGGCGTCTCCTGGTCGGCCTTTCACAGCTGACGCAGGCCTGTGAAGCTCCTGGGTGCAAGCCGGCTCCACTGCCCAAGCCCTAGGAGCAGCCCCAGGACCCCGCCCTGTAGTAGGAGGTGCAGGATGGGGCTGGTTCCTTCCCTCGGGATTCCCAGAGCCAACATCTTCTCTGTGCACTAAGGGACTCACCTCTCCATTCAGTACCCAGACACGGAGGCGTCTGGGGAACAAGTGCCATTTCTCAGCCCTCCAGGCGCCAGACAAGCCCTTGAATTAGATGACCCAGGTACCCTGGGATGTAGGGACCCCAGGGATGTTCAGAGTGCAGAGAAAGCAGGACAGGAGTCAGGGTCCTCTCTTTTCTGGAGGTGCAGAGCCTTAGAACCCCGCTTCTGGGGCCGGTGCCATGGCACAGTAGGTTAATCCTCCACCTGCGGTGCCAGCATCCCATATGGGCGCTGGTTCTAGTCCTGGTTGCTCCTCTTCCAGTCCAGCTCTCTGCTATGGCCTGGGAGGGCAGTGGAGGATGTCCCAAGTGCTTGGGCCCTGCAACCCATGGGAGACCAGGAAGAAGCACCTGGCTCCTGGCTTCAGAGAGGTGTAGCTCCGGCCATTGCGGCCATTTAGGGAGTGAGCCAATGGAAGGAAGACCTTTCTCTCTGTCTCTCTCACTGTCTGTAACTCTATCTGTCAAATAAATAAATAAAAATCTTAAAAAAAAAAAAAAGAACCCCGCTCCCACCATGGACAAGATGGACAAGCACACCTTCCATGGAAGAGCATGGGTCTGGGGGACCTCCAGGAACCAAGGCCTGTCCAGCTCCTGTGCTGGTGCCCACCACCAGGGGCTGGGCCCTGCCAGGCGAGGCAGGAGGGCTCCCCTTGCACTATGGGTCCCCAGCAGGCCCAGGGTGTGGCAGCCTGGCAAGGACTCTGCCCTGTCTCTTCTCTCTCCAGGTGCCAGGTGTACAGAGCTCTTTGTCCCGTCCTCAGTTCTCCCCATGGCAGAGAAAGCAGGCTTCTCTTAGGGGCTCTTAGTTGCAAGGACAGAAACCGCACCCAGACTGACAATAAGAGAGCTGATTGACTCAGGCTGCAAGCCTGGGGGTGTCCTTGCTTGAAACGTGACTCAGTCTGTGCTGCAGGCCAAGAATCAACAAGTGTCCACACAGCCCCGCTGAGACCAGCATTCACACCGCACCTTGTCTGGGCTCCCCAAGGACACGGCCCCGCCTGGCTGCTGTGACCACGCCCCATACCACAGCCCTGTTCACTCTGGCGGGGATTAGCTAAGTGATAGAGTAGAGGAAGCAGGGAGCCATTGGCTGGGCCGGGCCTGGCCCCAGGATGGTGCCGAGGGGTGCAGTGCCAGGGTGCAGCGACTGGCCGGCCTTGCCCAGCCAGCGTGCGCTGGGCCTGAGCTTGAGTGTCCGCCACCTGCCACCTGCCACACCAGGCTCCCTGGTGCCCCACTGTCCTTGGCCAGAGCCCCACCGTGACAGAGTGGGGTCACTGCCGGCCAGAAGAAGTGACCTGGGAGCTGGAAAAGCCTCCCCCAGCCACGGCACGGTGTCTGAAACCCCAGCATCAGGGCTTCATTCTCCGATTAGCTTGGCCTCCCCTCTGCCAGCACTAAATGTGCACGTGTGGACCCTGGGGGAGTGTGTCAGAGTGCAGAGTCCTGGGAGCTGCTGCCACCAGCGCTTGGGGCAACAAGGCCAGCTGTGAGCTCGAAGTCACCCTTGGGGGCAGGCAGGAGCTTGGAGGGGAGGGGGGTCAGGTGCTTCCAAGAACCACTTGTTTACTCTGTTGGCCTCTCAGAGCCTCCTAGACTGGTCCAGGCTGGTTCTGCCTGGGCAGAGGGCACAGGGCTGGACAGGTCCAGGGGTGAGTGGCCGCTTCCCGAAGACTGACCTGGTGCCCTCTCCGAAACCCCGGCCAGCCAGCCCTTCCCCCTCACCCAGGCAATGGCGGGCAGGGAGTGCCAGTCCTGCCACTGGTCTCTTGTCCCAACCCCATTCCCCCAGAACCGCCCTGCTGGAAAGCTTCAGGGACGGATGGGCAGTGTTCATTTGGATGGGAGATGGGACTGGACTGCCTGCTGCTGAGAGAGATCAGAATAGAAGCAGGAGGGACGCTCAGAGCGTGCAGTAAGCTCACCTCTACAGCTGCCTAGGGACCCAGGACCCCAGGCCACAGGCAGCACAGGCTGGCGGGCAAGGGGTGCTCTGCCCTCATCCCAGCACCCAGGCTTGCTGCCACCCCACAGGGTGGGACAGGGCCACTGCTTCCCTGAACAATGGGTGTGTGAGCCTGGCCAGCAACCTCTGCAGAGCCTCTGTTCAGACTCGCTCCTTGATGCTCGCGGTATCCCCTCCCCGGTGCTGCAGACACAGCCGAGAAGGAGAGGTGAGCTCTGACTCAAGGCTCCTGCAGCCCCGGGAGCCTGGGGCAGCGCGCACTGAAAGGTGAGCACGAGAACCGTGCCACCTGGGGAGGTGGCGGCCCAGGCAGAGGGGACAGTGCACGCCAAGACTCAGCAAGAAAGGAGCCCACGTGGCCTGGAGCTCAGGGGAGGCTGGGGCCACTGCAGGCCTCAGCAGCCGGGCAGCAAGTCTGCTCTCTGCTCTCGGGAGCTTGCCCTGGGGCCTGGTGTTGTGATGCACAGGGTTAAGCTGGTATTCGTGACACTAGCATCCCATATCCGAGTGCTGGTTTGAGTCCCAGCTACTCTGCTTACCACCCAGCTCCCTGTTAATGCGCCTGGGAAGAAAGCAGAAGATGGTCCAAGTGCTTGGGCCCCTGCCACCCATATGGGAAACCCACAGGGAGTTCCTGTTTCCTGGCTTCAGCCTAGCTGTTGCAGGCATTTGGGGAGTGAACCAGTTAATGGAAGATCTGTCTGGCTGTCACTCTGCCTTTCAAATAAATAAATAAATCAGTCTTTTCAAGAAAGAGCTTGCCACTGTGCCGATGGCTGGGGCCATCGGGGAGAGTGGAGTTGGACTTGCACAGGGGCTGTGCTGTCTGCTCCTGGCGTCCCCTAGGGTGGACTGAGGCTTCCTCAGGGCCACATGCACCTGCGGTGTGGACCGGAAGCTGCTTAGCTGCCCTCCTTCCTGTCGTGCTGTGCTGCTGTGTTAAGCAGGCACCTGCCTCCTCTCAGCCTCTCAGATGACAGCAGAGGGTGCCAGGGAGCAGGATGCCCACCACAGGCTGAGTGCTTGCCCCTGGCCACCGTGGGAGGCTCAGCCATGAGCACTGAACCACGGGATTGCTGGAGATCGGGACCTCAGGAAGGGAAGCATGAGTGGGAGGGGAAGGGGCCGCCCGGGGCGCCATCTCCAACGCCAACAGCTTTGTTGCCCTCCTGAGACCCTGTCATCAGCCTGGTGGGCGAGGGCCGCCCCCCCCCCCCAGGCTGTTAGATCATCCCTCCCACAGCAGGGACAGACGGTGGCCACAGCCAGGCCGCCCAGGGACCTGCAGCTATCTCACGCAGCTCCCTGCTGGGCGCCGTGTCAGCCCACTGTGGTGGGGAAGGTCATCGGGCCTCAGACAGCTGCTCTTCCTCAGGGTCATGCAGCTGACCATGGCTCTGACACACTTGGGCAGGTCAGGCCAGGCCCTGCTCACTGCAGAGGTCCCCTCTTCCCGGAGCTTGGGGCCTGGAGGGGCGCTGCAGGGCTGGGTCCAGGCCCTCACACTCCTGCACGGGCCTTGGTTTGCCAGGCCTGGCAAGGACGCGGGAACCAACAGTCCTGCAAGCCAAGTGTCCCCACCCACCCCTCCTTGAATCTCCTCCTGGCTGTGCATGGACTCCGTGTCCCTGTCCGGAGCTGAGCTTTCCTGGAAGCAGCCTCGGGTCCCTGGAGGACTCCAGGACAGGGAAAGGCCCTCAGGGCCAGGCCCACGCATTTGAGGGGCACTGGAGCACCCCCTGCCCTCACCTCAGCACGCCCTGCAGTGCCGGGAAGTGCGGTCAGCCGGGAGCATCCAGCATAGACGGCGCATTCTGGAACGGAGGTCAGGCCGCCGTATTCAGGAGTCAGCAGGGGTGTGCTGACTCTGGCCAGTGAAAGGCCTTTGCAAGGGGGTTGATCGAGGGGCCCCTCCTGCAGAATCTCAGATGCCAGATTTTCTTAAAGGCCCCCCAGCCTGAATGCTGGTATCGTTCGGGTCTGCCAGAGGCCAGGGAGCCAGCACGGCTCCTGGGGACCCCAGGATTCTTGATCCTCCTTGATAATTGGGAGTGGGTGGGGTGCAGGTGCTGCTGGTTGCCGTGACCGTCCCTTACTGAGGCGGTTGGTGTGCTGGCCCCAGGGAGACAGCACCAGGTCACAGGAAGCCGTCCTAAGACTATAGGAGGTGTGGCCGGAGCCCGAGAGAGGAAGGAGCTTTCAGAAGAAGAGCTAGGTACCGGCGCCGTGGCTCACTAGGCTAATCCTCCGCCTAGCGGCGCTGGCACACCGGGTTCTAGTCCCGGTTGGGGCGCCGGATTCTGTCCCGGTTGCCCCTCTTCCAGGCCAGCCCTCTGCTGTGGCCAGGGAGTGCAGTGGAGGATGGCCCAGGTGCTTGGGCCCTGCACCCCATGGGAGACCAGGAAAAGCACCTGGCTCCTGGCTCCTGCCATCGGATCAGCGCGGTGCGCCGGCCGCAGCGCGCCGGCCGCGGCGGCCATTGGAGGGTGAACCAATGGCAAAAGGAAGACCTTTCTCTCTCTCTCTCTCTCACTGTCCACTCTGCCTGTCCAAAAAAAAAAAAAAAAAAAAGAAGAAGAGCTAGGAGGGCTTCCTGTTTGCCTGCACCTCAGAGGATCATGGTCTCCACAAGGACTAGGGACTCTGTATTTGTGTTAACTGTCCGGCCCTGTTCTTGGCACCAAGTGTTTGTGTAGGAAATGGGGCAGGGGGATGATGAAACAGCACATGAGCTTCACCTCTGGAGCTGAGGTGAGTTTTGTTTTATTTATTTATTTTTTTTGACTTGCAGAGTTAGACAGTGAGAGAGACAGATAGAAAGGTCTTCCTTCCGTTGGTTCACCCCCCAAATGGCTGCTACAGCCAGCGTGCTGCGCCAATCCAAAGCCAGGAGCCAGGTGCCTCCTCCATGCAGGTGCAGGGCCCAAGGTCCTGGGCCATCCTCCACTGCCTTCCTGGGCCACAGCAGAGAGCTGGACCGGAAGAGGAGCAGCCAGGACAGAATCCGGTGCCCCAACCAGGACTAGAACCGAGGGTACCGGCGGAGGATTAGCTCATTGAGCTGCAGCACTTTCTACAGAAATGAGGCCAATGGGAGGGCTTGAACCTGGGTTTGGGGACCAGCCTCGCCCCAGGACACTGAGTGTGAGTTGCCCTCCTAGGCACAGGCAGGAAGTACCCCTGTAACCCGGCCTAGGCACAGCTCTCTGGAGAAATGGCATCTGATCTGTTTGTAGGCCAAGGCCCAAGGGCTACCCCAGGGATACTAGCCAGGTTAGCAGCAGCTGATTTATATATATATATAAAAGGCAGAGTTACAGAGAGAGAGAGAGAGAAGTCTTCCATCCACTGGTTCACTCCCCAAATGATCACAAGAGCCACAGCTGAGCTGATTGGAAGCCAGGAGCCAGGAGCTTCCTCTGGGTCACCACGCAGGTGCAGGGGCCCAAGGACTTGGGCCATCTTCTACTGCTTTCCCAGGCCATAGCAGAGGGCTGGATCGGAAGCGGAGCAGCCGAGACCCGCACCGGCACCCGTA